AAAGGAAAAAAGAAGCAAATTTTCTGTTTAACATCCAGAATGACTCAATAAACCAGCAAAACTACTCCAAAATTCTTTACTTGCTTTCTGAGGAAAATACTATTGAGTGATTTTATAGAATCCTTGACAAAGGCAACAGTCCTCTTCTTTTTTTCCAGTTACTTCAGGCTCTGTAGCTCTCTGATTTTCCATACTTGTTACAAATATGATGTTGATTAAGACACTGGAAACAGAAATCCTCTTGAAACACACATTTTTCTCAGATGAACTCCTTAAAACTCTTCAAGCAAAGCCACTAGCCTGTGACATTTTAAAAGGGGAGCCATGAAGCCATCCTGCTGGGAATAAGGCCACTGGCTGGTTCTACTCTGCTACCATTTAAATCTCAAAGGTCAAAAGAAAATGTTCCCACTAGTTTCTCCATGGAAAAAAGGATTGGGCATGAGCTGGAGAACGTTGGTTTTTGGTTTTTTTCCTGGTGGATTTTTAATTCAAAACAGGCTCAGTAAGAAAATTTCTTCAAAACGCAGCCAAAGGGTTAATAACAGTATGAAGGAAAATAAGACTCCAGATCTGGCTTAAATATCTGGCTTAAATCTGGCACTTCTTCACAGATATTGGGGGTTTGGGTGCTTGACCCCATCTAGTGGCACTCCAGGAATGAGGAGAAATCCCAGCCCATGGGGGTTTGTTGAGATCACCTTATCCTACATGGAACACAGCCAGGCCTTCTTCCCCTTGCCCTGCTGTCCTCTCCTGGGCCTGGCAGCACAGCAGGGCAGGGCTGGCACACAGAGGTGATTCAGCCCCTGTGTGCTCAGCCCCAGCTGCTCCTGAGCAGTGCAGAGGGAGCTGCGTGTCCAAGCAAGTGGGAGATGGACTCCTGGCTGAGAAGATCCTTGTTGGAACCCAGGGCATCCCTCTGGCTGTCCTGGACTGCCAAGACCCCTGCCAGGGGCTCAGAGACCCTGGCACAGAGCCCAAAACACCTGTGGGTTTGATTATGACCCGTGGGACAAGTTACCAACCTTAGATGAAGATCTGCAGGCCACGACAGTTTAAGTAGAATGACAGTGAATTTATCACAGGGTGGAAAAGTAGATTTTGGGGTTTTTAGAATGGGGGTTCAGGAGGCAAGATGGAGGAGTCTGGGCATGTCCAGCCTTTCTCCTTCTTCTTCTTGGCCTCCATCTTCTGCTGTGATGTTGGCACTTTTAGATTGGTTTAGAGTAGAAGCTCACTGTCTAACATAGGTGATAGGTATAGGAGAGTAATTGTAAACATTGTACACGTAGTTTTTAGTATAAAAAGATAACACTGCCCTGGGGCAGGCAGAGTGCCTGTGACTGTCCTGCTGAATGGACCTCAGCAGGTCAGGAGAAAGAATTTTATAGCTAAGGAACAATAAACAACCTTGAGAACGAGAAGTGAAGAGCTCTGACTCCTTCTTCGAGCGCTGGGCAGGGAAAAGAGAGTTTCTAATGTATCTTGGGGTCACTGTGACCAGCAGAAATTCCAAGAGATCCTTTACAAATAAATAAATAAACTGAGCAGCACTTGTTTCCCCCAGGTGTGCATCCCTTGTTTCCCCCAGGTGTGCGTCCCTTGTTTCCCCCAGGTGTGCGTCCCTTGACGTGGGTGCTGGATAGGAAGAAGGTTACACTGGAACTTCATTTTTCACCCAACTCCAAGAACAAGTGACCTCTTTGAAGTTATTTTGTGCAGAGCCCTGGAGCTGGAGTGTGGTTGTAATCCCAGAGCCTTTGATCTTCCCTCCCTGCTTGACCCTACCTCTGCCAGCTTGGGGTCTCACAGGTGGAATCTGCTGGGCTGGGCCACCTCTGGTCCCTCCTAAAGCTGCCCCAGCTTGGAGAGGAGTTCAGCCAACTCTGGAGGAGAGCCCAAGGCTGTGGTCAGCTTTGGTGAAGGCAATTCTGTGCCTGGCTGTGCCTCTGGAAGGTCAGTTCAGCTCAGTCCCCTCTTCTCCAGTCTGAATAAACCAAGTGACCTCAGCAGCTCCTCATACAGCTTCTCCTCAAGGCCTTCACCATCCTCATGGCCCTCCTTGGGACACTGTCTAATAGTTTAATGACTTTTTTATATTGTGGTGCCCAAAACTGCCCCCAGCACTCGAGGTGAGGCTGTCCCAGAGCAGAGCAGGACAATCCCTTCCCTTGCCTGGTTGGCCATGCTGGGCCTGATGGCTCCAAGACTTGGATGTCCTGATGGCCCTGGCACTGGGATGTCCCTCCTGGCTGCCAGGGCACTGCTGATTCATGTTCAAATTTCTCTCAACCAGGACTCCCAGGCCCCTTTCCTTGGTGCTGGTCCTCGGCATCTCACTCTCCATTCAGTGCACACAGCCAGGGTTACCCCATCCCGGGCGCAGAATCCTTCATTTTCCCTTGTTGAACTTCATCCAGCTGGTGATGGCCCAGCCCTCAAACTTGTCAAGGTCTCTCTGCAGGGCCTCCCTGGCCTTGAGGGAGCCAAAAGCTCCTCCCAATTCAGTGTGATCAACAAATTATTTAGTATTCATTAGAGTCCTGTGCCGAGATTGTTGATGAGGGTGCTGAGGAGCCCTCCAGAACCCCACCAGTGACCAGACACCAGCCTGATGTCAGCCCCTTCCCTCCAACCCTTTGTGCCTGACCTGTGAGCCAGCTGCTCACCCACCATTCCCCACGGTTAGACAGCTGTGGGCTGGACATTTTGGGCTGGACATTTGGCCCACAAGGACATTGTGACAGACTGACATGGCCTTCAGCCCTTCCTCTGGGACGTGCTGGCACCAGCACGGTCCAGCTTTCCAGCGGGCTGATGGTGCCTCCTTTATTTTAATAACTCCTGGGAAGGGTTTCAAAGCCAGCCAGCTCTTCTTTCATAACCACCAGGTCCCTCTGCCCTCGCTGCTGTGCCCCTCTGGAGCTGCCAGCACACAAACCTACTTAGCTGAGCTGCACTCTCCTGCTGCAGAGCACCTGCGGGGCACAGGGTCCCAGGGGAGGCAGCCGGGTTTGTCCCTTCCTTTACCCCGCACCGAGGTGGAACAGCTCCTCCTCCCAAAGCCAACAGCACACCCTGCGGCAGCACCGGTGGAAATTCAGGATGAGGCCATGGAAACGCAAAAATGGGCTCTGAGCAGCTGCAGCCACAAGCAGAGCTGGGGTAGGATGCTCGGTTCTACTGCACGGCGCCCAGCAGGGCCAGCTGGGGTTGGAGCTGAGCCCTTTCAAACTCAACAAGTGCTGCTATAATGAAGCTCGTTCCTCGCTATTGGTCGACAAGAAGCTTAGCATTGATTTAATGAGTTCCCTTCAGAAGCCTCCACTGCTGCATTCCTTGGGAGATTAAGGGCTGCTGCTTTTCTTCCCCCCCTCCCTTCTGCTTCTTTCTAATGATGTTACTGAGAAGGCAGGAGAATCTGAGCTATGCCCTGCTTACCGCTGGGTGAACCCCATTTACACGGCATTTTTACTTCAGGAATCCTTCCAAACATTACGCGGGTGGGATTTTACATCTGACAAAAGAAACAGTTAACATTTACCGAGATTAAACCCCCTTTAATGCTGCCCGAGTTTGCATTTGCTTGCTCATGTGACTGTGCCTCTCCCGTGCCTTTAGAGTTAAAAGTACTCTCCAGAGGCTGGTTGGAGAAATGCTGTATTATTTTTTTTTAAATCCAGCATAGATGACAAACACCGTGCATTACCGTCATCTATGGAAACACTCCCCATCCTTTCGAAATTTCAGTACAAAAATTTCAGTACAAAATTTTCAGTACAAAATTTTCAGTACCATTTTTGTACTGAACCGTACAGGTACCAGGAGGCTCCATTCAATCCGCGCTTCTGCGGGGGCCAGAATTGATTAAACAACCAGTTTATTAAACCCTGGAAAAAGAGAATTAGAGCCCTCAGCTCAGCAGAGCCGGCAGGGACAATCTCACGGCAGCACAGGGACCGTCATCACGAGTAAGCTACGTCTAAGATGGATCAAGGGGAGCAGCTTTCTCTGGGGAACCCGGCACAGATCTGGGTTCTCCAAGGTCTTGTTGCTGAGGACGCGACTTTGAGCGGTGGCCGTGGGTTTGCAGGGCAGTGTGGAGGAGTGCGGTGGGATGGGACTGTGAGCAGCAGCTCTCCATTCACTCACACAGCACAGGGCAGGGAAGGGACACGGCACCGCTGCTGTTTCTTTACAAAATTAAAACCAAAAGGCGACACTGGGTGAACCAATTCGAAAATTTGGAGCAGGAAGGCGAGAGTGATGTGAATTTTGCGAATCAGAGTTTACTTGCTCTGGAGCTCTCTGTTACAGAAAAGGCACTTGGTTTGCGGCCAAAGAACCGCTGACAAAGAGAAGCGGGGGGGGAAATAAAGGCTTGCAGAAAGGCGTCGGCATTGTTCGTGTTTAAAAGCAGTGGGCTGTCAGCCCGACAGCGTGCGAGCTCTCCCTTTTAGCCAGGACACATTTGTCCTTGCGCTGTGAACCGTGCTTAACCAAACAAGGCAGGCGAGCGGCAGGGAAAGTTTGAATTATCGGCGTTACCGAGCTTTAACTTGGGCAGGGCGGCAGAGGGGTCCCGCAGCCCCGGCACCGCACAGAGCCGGGCACTGCCTGGGCCGAGCGAGGTGCCCACGGGCAGAACCAACCTCCAGGAGCTCGGCGAGCTCAATTCCTGCTCCCACTGCCTGCGGGGGAAACCTCGCCGCGGGCCGAACTTTGTAAACACAGCGCGATGCTGCTCCGGGAGGGGAAACCGAGGCGGCTGCGAAACCGAGGATCCCCACGGCGGCAGGGAGAGCTGGCAGCGATTCGGTGTTGGCAGCGCCCAGCCCTCCCCTCTGCCAGCTTCCCCTTCCCCTTTAAATAAACATCCGTGCACAAAGCAGAAGGCACGCAGGATCCCCCCCTTCCCCTGGAAAAGGGATGCGGAGCCCGTCCGGGATCGGCCGCGCAGCAAACGCCGCCCGCAGCCGGAAAAACAGCAAAAGTACCTTTTGAATTCTTCCATCAATGTCCAAATAAATACATTTGGGCCGGTAAGTGGAGGAGGCAGATCCCATCTTGCTGCGGCTGGGCTCTCACCGGACTTGTTCCCAGTGTCAATCAGAGCAGAAAATCAGGTCTGTCCTAGCCAGCCGAGCCACCGCTGCCTGACAGTTCGGTGTCCCCGCTCTTCTGTATCCCACTGTACTCTCATTCTGGGAAGGTCCCTCCTCTAACATGCATGCATTTTGCTGTGCCTCCGTCTCTCTCTGCCACCTCCTTTTAGTTTTGCTTCCCTCCGAACCCAGCTGCCTCGGACAGGGAAAGGCACAGGCTCCAGATGCTGCCTGCGAGCCCCCTCTCCATCCCCATAGCAACAACCCCTCTTTGTGGCTTTGAGGCTGAGACTTGCTGGGCATCCGCATTCGGGCTCTGACCCTGGGACTGGCCGGCTCCTGTTTTGCACGAGATCAAGTGGCATTTATCCCCCGGGGGGACTGCGGAGGAGGAAAAACCCCCTTTACCGGGGTGGTGAGAGATATAATTTGATTTTATGCTGAAATAGGACCGTATTATTAGTGAGTGCCTCTCCTGGTGAGCTGCCTGCACAGTGACAGGCTCCCGTCTGGAAATGCCCTGTGCTGGAAGTGTCCTTTCAGACACCCACTGCCAGCCAGGGCTTGCACCGTCTCAACCCAAACTCAGCAGCTCCATCTCCACATCCCTCCCGTTATCATCACCAGGACAGAAGGAGCTTTTATCCCCCCCTGTAAGCTCCAGCAGCGCGAAGAAACCACAAACCCCATCCTCTCGCCCACCGCCATCCGCGCCGGCCCCGGGGCGAAGGAATTTGTTATTTGGGGGAATGTGAAGCCTCCTGGCAGAGGCATCACCCCCGAGGAGGGCAGGGGGGAGCGCAGCCCCGGCGATGCTCCCGGAGCGCGGTGCCCTCTGCCGTGCCCGGGCTGCGCTGCCCCGGGCTCAGAGGCAGCAGAGAGGCTGCACAGGCAGCACACAGCCTGTGCTGGCAGCACGAACCCTTGGTTTTGTGGGGATTGTCACGGAGGGGCTGCAAAAGCATTTCCCGGCCTCTTCTGTGCTGTGCGGGTTGGGCAGCGCAGTCAGTGATGCTCACCCTGCCCACCCTGAGTCCTCTGTGCACCAGAGAGAGACAAAAACTGACCCCAGCAGGGCTTGGCTGTGCCTTCTCCCTGGCTGTGCCTTCTCCTTGGCTGTGCCTTCTCCCTGGCCGTGGTTTGCTGCCCCTGGCAAGGCAGCCAGGGCTCTGCTGCTCCACAAAGGGGATTTGTAGGGCTGGAGGGTCGAGTGGGTCCCAGAGCTGCCTGGCAATCAGAGCTGGGCTGACCCTTCAGGCTGAAGCCAGAGGTGCTTCTAAAGCTCTCAGAGGCAGCAGCAAGGTGGTTTTTTTGGGAAGTGCAAGCTCTTGCCTTACATCCTTCCTCTGCCAGCTTGGAGCAGGCACTGGGAGTCTCTCAGGAGAGAGCCCTGGGCACTGCAGGGGTGTCCTGGGGGCTCCTGTCCCCTCAGCTGTGCCACAGCCTGTCCCATACCCACTACACACTCAGTTATCCTCTGGGCTGCTTTGCAGTCTGTCCATCCCACAGACTATGCTGGAAACTCTCCCCGAGGCTGATGCCTCAGATTGCCCCACAGGTGATCCCCATGGCTATTCTGAGCTTCTCCCTCTTCAACAGCCCCTCCACACCAACCCCACTGCCTCTGCACAGCAGTCAGGGCCTCTGGGACCCACCATTCCACACCCTGCTCTGCTGAGCACTGCCTTTACCCTGCTTTGCTGTGGCTCAGGCCTGAGTGACCTGATTGACCCAGCAGGTTCCTGGGGAGGATGGCCATGATGACCAAAATGCAGCCATTTGGAGAGAGACAACAAGAACACCCCCTCTGGGGGATGCACATGGGACATTTGGGATTGTAGAGGAGGACACTGAGCTCTCCCACTGTCATCACCCACCCCAGGAGTGGTCAGACAACATCACTGGGGCATTTCAGGGTTTGATCACACATCACTGAGATACCTAATGATCACAGTCTCACACTGGTGAGAATCTACTTTTTGATTATTATTTTTTTATTAAATGTGACCAGTTTCTCCAGCCAGCAAAAGGACAAGCTCTGAAATCCCTGTGATGATCCCAGTCTGCCCCTCCAGTGCCCTTGTCCTATCTACTCTCCCTGTGTATTTAAAATTGTGTTTCTTAAGCTCCACACACATCCCCCTCTCCCTAATTACATTAATACTTGTTGGAAAAACTGCTTTGCTGTACAGCTGCTGACTATTGCTCTTTTCAAGAACTTCATGCAGAAGTGAATCTTCAAAAGCTGAGCACTCAGAAATGATGACAAAAGCCTGATGCAATCAAAGGCCCAGTTCAAGATAAAATTCATCAAAGGGAGTGTGCAGCTCCAGCAGATCACTGCCTTGAGCTGGTTTAACCTTCCAGAGTCTCCTTATTTCAGCATACACTGGGCAATGTGGGGCAAAAATTATCAGGAAGCATTATCCTCTCTCATCAAATCCTTCAAATCCAGGACCAAATCCAAGCAGCAGAGTGCCAGGCAATGATTTTCCATCATTTGCCTTAGAGGAATGTTTTGCCCAGCTCAGGGCAGGACCAGGCTCCTGTGCCCCTGACCCCATCAGGGGTTCCACAGCTCTGCTTTGCCTCCCGAGGATTTTTTACTGAGGCCAACACCCTTCCCTCTGTACATTCCAAGCCTGGAATGAGCCTTTTGGAGAGCTCAGGGTCAACCCCAGGGATGTGGCAGTGCCAGGTGTCCCTCACCCCAGGGGTGCTCCCAAGGGTGACAAAGGCTCTTCTGTCTCCCGCCCTGGTGTCAGCTCCGTGTGGGTGGTGCAGAGGAAGCTTTTTAGGGTTTCCAAGGAGTGACCAGAGGATGTTCAGATCCCCCATTGCCCTGGGGCTGCTGCTGTGGAGGCAGAGCTCAGCCAGGCTGGCTTTGCACGGGCTGAGATCTCCCCCTGCTGCAAACGCTGCTCAGAGGGAGAGGGAGAAGCTTTAAGGATGAAAGGGGCTGCTCAGGTCACTCCCCATGCAGTCCTGGGGTGGCACCATCCCTGTCCCCTCCCACCTGTGTCTTTCCCCAGCCCTGGGGTCACTGACACAGCCCTCAGCCTCCCCCAAACCTGGTTTTCTTGCTGCGGCCAAGAAATTCAGTGCCCCTTGCAAGCCACTGTGTGCACATCCAGACCTGGGCACTGCACAGCAGGGATCTTCAGAGAGACTGAAATGGGGGGAAAAGAGCCAGAAAATGTAAAACTTCCAGTGAAAGATTTTGTACTTTGAAAAATGCTTGCCTAGAATTAAAAACAGGGAATAGAAAATGTGTCAGTGTTCACAGGGGTTTTCAGATTGGGGGAGAGATGAGGATCTGACTCCAGTTTCAGAAGGCTGATTTATTATTTTATGATATGCATTACATTAAAACTATACTAAAAGAATAGAAGAAAGGATTTCATCAGAAGGCTGGCTAAGGATAGAATATGAAGGAATGATAACAAATGCTTGTGGCTTGGCTCTCTGTCTGAGACAGTTGGACTGTGATTGAGCATTAATTAGAAACAACCACATGAGACCAATCCCAGATGCACCTGTTGCATTCCACAGCAGCAGATAACCATTGTTTACATTTTGTTCCTGAGGCCTCTCAGCTTCTCAGGAGGAAAAATCCTAAGGAAAGGATTTTCCATAAAAGATGTCTGCGACAAGAAAACAGAATTAAAAACACGAAATCAAGTTTCTTCCTTACCAGTTCCATATCTAAGCCTTCAAGTGCTTTCTTTGCCCATTAATCCCTCCTGCTGCAGGTCCCTTGTGTCTGTCTGTCTGTCTCCATGTCCCCACAGGGCCCTGACCTTCTGCTTTACCTCTCCATGCTCCAACCTGCCAAAATGCCAGATTGCCCCTGGAGCTGAGGAGGTTTTCCTTCCCCTCCCACAGCTCCTCTTCTCCCTGCTTCACTCAGTCTTCTCTCCCTCTTTTCACCCTCTTTGGTGTTTTGCCATTTTTGCTTCTAGGTTTTTTATTTTTTTTCCCCACAGACCTGAAGTCATGCAGGCTTTCTGCAGGAATTAACTTTGTGATTGGAAAAAGCTTTCTGATTTAACAGCCAAATGGTGGCTGTGGCAGTGGGAGCTCCTCCATGCAGAGCCCCACTGACCTTTCCAGCCCAGCTCTCCCTCCTCTCCCCAAACCCACAGAAGGAACGTGGCGTGTTGCACATGGAAATTCTACCTCATTTTTTCACACATTTCTTTTACACTCTGCCAGATTTCCACAGGCCCAGTCCTGGAAGTGATCATATTGAATGTTAATTAGAGAATGACTGATTATTAATATTAGAACCTGTCACAGACATCTTTTATGATGAAAAATCCTTTCCTTAGGATTTTTCCTCCTGGGAAGCTGAGAGGCCTCAGGAACAAAATGTAACCAATGGTTATCTGCTGCTGTGGAATGCAACATTGGTCTCATGTGGTTGTTTCTTATTAATGGCCAATCACAGCCCAGCTGGCTCGGACAGAGAGCCCAGACACAAACCTTTATTATCATCCTTTCATATTCTATTCCTAGTTTAGCTAGTCATTTGATGAAACTTTTTCTTCTATTCTTTTAGTGTAGTTTAAATGTAATATATATCATAAAATAATAAATCAGCCTTCTGAAACATGGAGTCAGATCCTCATCTCAGCCCTCAACATAAGACCCCTGTGAACACGGTCACAAGAACCTTTATAGATTTGTCCACACAGGCCCTGAACACCCTGAAAGTGATGTTTGGCCCCTCCCCAGTCAGCAGCACATCTCTCCACCTCACTCGTGGCTCCAGCCCCGTTTTTGGGTCCTTTTGCCCTCCCCAGCCCCATCCCCAGTCCATGCAGTGCAGCCACCCTCGCTGTCAGCCTGGTTTCCATGGCAAAGCCCCAGGAACGTGGGCTGGAGGGGAGCTGTGACATCTGACGTGGCTGCTCTGGGGCACTGGGTGCAGCAGCAGAGCTCTGTGGGTGGGAGATGTGGGATTACTCACCCAGGAACCAGCTCTGCTCCTCACTCCAGCAGCCTTGGCCACCCTGGTGATAACGCTGCCTTCTTTCTCTTTACAGCTG